TTCATGTTTCAATATAATGATATGCCTGTTAACTCATACGATTATTTTAAGTGTAAATTAATAATAAAAATGTATATACTAATAAAATTGATTGAAAATAATATAAAATGAAAACTGTTATCGATTATGAAATGTATATGTATACACTGAATTATTTATTGAAATATAACATCAGATTTATATGTTATACACTAACATAATAGCTATATAGATACAAAACTAATATGTGAACACGTTATATCAGTATTTACGCACGTTAAATTAATATTGTTTAACGTTTAACGTTTAGTGTACACAGTGGTGGATTTTCAACTTTTTGGGGGGAAGGGGGATTCTATTATAGTATATTGAAATATGTAAATAAATAAATTTAAAAAAGTTGCATAATACTATATAATATATTATCACGTAATAATTAAATATATCGGTGTTTGTGGAGGAGGTGCAGTATCACTGGAGACTAGACCCTCTCTCCTCCTTATAAATCTGCCACCGAATGTATAATACTATAATATATCCTGTATACAGGGTGATTTTTTTATCAAACAATACTTATATAATGTTTGTGTGTAAATACCACCTAACATACACCTATAACACACAAACAACACCCAAAACCATTTAACTTTGGGAGGATACTTATATCTTGTAAACGAATTAACGAAAAATGAAAATTTAAACGTGAAAATTCATTGAAAAAATAGCCTTTTTAGTTTATGATATTTTAAGTATAGGTTGTCATTTGAAAATCAAAAGTTGATAATGGTTTACCTGATAAATATAAGGGTGAAAATCTTTTAAAAATATATATTGTTCTAGAACAAGATGGATCTAAAATTTTGAAAAAAGTCAATAGTTTTTGAATTAATGAGTGTTGTTTGATAAAAGAATCACCCTGTATATATATAATACACTCTTATATAATACTATATACACATGTAATGAATTATTATGCTTACTATTTTTTACTCTCGTATACGGCAGATACCTATAGAATTATCAGTGGTGAAACGTTATTTAAGAAATCGATACAATGTCTATCCAAATGGAAACCAGACGAAAAATTTTGTTTTATTAAAATAATAAGTATATATTATATAATTTGTCAAAATTATTATATTTTCATTAGAGCATTCTATTATTATAGAGTAAAATTACGAACCTAGTAATAGCTGCATGGAAGGTAAATCAATTGTGGCATATAATAGTATAAAAATAAATATAAGACAATGTCGAATTTTATTTGTTTTGTCAGGTGTGATGTGAATGGGGAATTCGAAAGCTGGTAGAGTTTATGGTTGTGCTATGGCCTATGAGACAAGTTACGTAGTTTATATTTTTGTTTTACTCTATTTTAAGTAGACAATCGTTATTATAACTCAGTTATCGAAATCCCGTCATCGACCGCCGCAAACTCATTATCATGGTTGATTTTATATTCACAGTATAGTTATATCTTGAATATTTTTATCATTATGCTTGATATTTTTTTTCAATGTCTATCTTACTCACGTGATAGATTATGTTTGCTTTTGAGATATTATTTTATTACAAAATAGAATTTGTAAGAATACATTGYATTCACTTGTGTATCACATAGTTTTTCAATCGAACACAAATTAACCGATAATTGACACGTATTATCAGGCATGGAGACCCCCACATATTGCACCCTACATCCCATTAATGCATAATATCGCAATCACGTGGAATATATAATAGTAGAACGTGGAAATCAAGTTTCGAGAAAATTTATATAAGCACGGCGATGTTAGTGCTGTGCCCGAAATAATAATTCCACTAGAATCCAAGGACGAGAACCCTGCGTTATAATTGCGTTTATTTAGCAGAAACGATACTGTGTGGTGTATCGTCGTTACAGTTTATATTATATACATCGTGTGTGTGTGTCATTATAACCTACTATATGACTCAGTGTACATATGCCACTGACTAATCTTCGACATTTACTTTTTTTCCAGAATTTAGATATACATTGTTAAAGTTAAATTAGTTGAAAAAAAAAAAATGTTAAAATGTTTTATCCTTTAAATAGAATATAGTATAGGTATTATTCTGTACGTATTTATTATATTATATTATCGTAATATCAGTATATTTTACTGTTCTTCTTGTTAAAACTTCTGACAAGTATGTCACCCAGAAGTCATCCGGTGAAACCACTGTTTTGCATTTGTATTAATGACTAAAGTCCATGAATCAAGCGTGAAAAAAAATCACATCAACTCAAATATATTTTATTGATTCTTTTTTATTATTATTAAAAGCTTTTGACGTAGCTAACCGAATTATTTGAAAACTGTATTAATATAACTCGTTTTTTACTTGATTTAACTAACTAGAAATATTATTCATAAACTTGGCCAGTTTTCATAAGTATTGCTGCAGAGTACCGACGTTGGGGACACACTACAAAATATAATAATATTACTAATCTTTTCACCGTAATTTAATGTGACATGGTTTAAAAAAATATATATTTCTAAATACTTTGCGTATATGAAAGTTTCGTATCGTATATAATTAATATTATATTATGATATATTATAGGTGTTTGGAGGATTTTGTTGACAAACTAATAATAATTGGATGGACGTCACTTAAAACCTATATAAAATTGCAAAATCCGTTCGGACTTTATTGTTATAAGGATTGGCGACTGCCGATTGCAGACAATCAAATTACCAGAACGTCACCAAAGAGCAGCTTATTTATAATGTGTTCAACCTTTAGTGGCTCCGGTAAACACCACAACGTCAACATTGGTTGAAATATCATTATAGACGAGTWAACTCTGCCTTCTGAAAATCATTTTAATAAAACGTAAAATATTTGAAATATTTGGAGTTATACACAAGTTCACTGATGTATGAAACAAATTTTACGCTTGAAAATAATGATTAAAAACATTCAGAAAAATATACAATTTTCGTTTAAATAAACTATGTCTTAGTAATAACGGAAAGCGATAACTAATTAACTACAAGTTCGATCTTCAAATTTCATACATTTTCGGGAAAATATTGAATTTCAGAATAATAAATCTTTGTTGTATATGAAAAAAAAAATAATAAAATGATATATAGACACRTTAACACTAAAAATAGGTAGATTTTTAATAAGGAATATTAATAAATAATTTGAAGTCATTATCGTAATAAACAGCATTAGCGAATTAGAATTTTTAATTTTTTAATCTTTTGAATGCTGATAAATGATAACAGCATAGATTTTAAGTTAGATTAATCACGATATTGTTTAAAATTCAATCAATTTAAAAATAGCGGTTAAGTGCATATCACACTGCTGTACAGTAGGTTACAAGTGGGTTACTGTAATGGATGGTATTGAATTTGAATTTAATGATATAATATTGTATACGAAAAACGATTCTTCGACTTCTTCGAGTATCAGTCTAGGATATGTTGTATTATCCTAATAATTATATTGTTTTTATTTCGAAAAAAAAATAATAAAAATGTAGATACCTATAAAATTAACTCCAAATTAATCAAATCAGTTTTATTATGTACCCAACTCACTCAGTTATTCATAGTATAAACAATATAGTATAAAGTAAAGTATTAAACTCATCAACKACATAATACTATTAAAATTGGAATAAAATTAAACTCTAGAAATTTCAAGTATCCACGAATAATATTTTTAAATGATAACAATATAACTAAAATTGTTAATAAAAATACTAATATGTAATTTCATCCAAATTCGAACTCAAAAAAACTAAAAAAAACTGTGTTTATATAGTTTTTAGATTTATATTTTAAAAATGTTATCAAGTACCTATAGATAAAATAAACATATGGTGTAAATTTCAAATTTCTACAGTAATTCGTTTTTAAATTTTTGAATAGCAACAAAATAAGAATATCGGTACAGAGCTACTTATAGTTAATTTCTATTTTCTATTTAGCACATATTTGAAATTGAATTTTTATATAATGAAATTCTGAGGAGTAATCAATAATAATAATAATAATAATCAATAATCTTAATCACCATTAAAATAATATGCTATTAATTATTGTTTTATAATTTTCCTAAGAAATTACAATCAAATAAAACTATAAATTAATTAATCTTACATTTTGAATTTTTAAACATTTATACACTTTCAATATCATAATATACTATAAATCTAAATTTTTAACTTCCTAATGGAATCGGGTGACAAAATATTGTACTTTTATAATGTTAAGGTTAATAATATCAATATTTGGTTAAAAAATGTTCATAAAAATCATATGAGAAGAAGAAAATATTTAAATGATTATTATTCTCTTTTATTTTGTGGAAATATTGATAACAATATATGATTGTAGTATATATTTTATTCCAATCATCACTTGTTTATTAAAAATCATCATGGCTTATCTATTCATAAAGGCATATAACTATAGTATATATATCATTCGAAAACAACAAAGATAAATAATCTTTGACTATATTATTTTCAATATACCCTTATAAAAAGCTGAATATTTATTTTATTTATCCAATGTGCCAATRCATATTTTAGATTCTGAGAGGAGTGATGAATGTATTTGTCATTAATTTGCTTATATTATGTTTATAAGTACTTCATTTTTATAAAAATATACATCAGACACTCAATAAGTCATTTTATTCTCAGTAAAATTCTAATTTCGWGGTAAAAAAATTATTCCAAGCTATATTACTCATACAAAATGAAAAAGATTTATTTTCATGAAATGTCGCATAAAAATATGTAAGAAATACAAGTCTATGTCCGGAGTTATTGGAGTTACTCACAAATGATGGTTAACAAGTAAAAAACAATTAAAACACTAGATAGATAGTATTTAAAGTCTAAAATTTAAGCCGACAGAAATGTAAATATTAGTATTTAGTATTTACCAATTTTTGGATAAACAACATTTACATTTTCCCACAAAATATATAATATAAGTATATAACCAATATAGTTTACACTTTACCTTATAAGAACCGAGGTCATCTACGATACATATTATTGTTGCTTCTCTGCCAACCGGAACCGTAACATTTGTTATCGGTTCAGCGAATTTGGGCATTTCTGAAAGAAAAAAAAAATTATAAGTTATTATAATATATTACCATACATGCATTTTAGATTCTGAGCGGAGCGATCATATCATTTTATCATGATGTGTGTTTTTTTTTTTTT